GTATAGAACACGAAATAATAAAATAATCAAATGTATTTAATTTAAACATCAACATACCTTTACATTTTTGCCGTATCTTATGCGAACATTTTTTGTGTGTGGTTTTCTCTCGTGATACCTAGCGTCTTCAATGCTTCAAATCCAGAACACCGGTATCACCTGTATGTTTAGATCAAGAAATAATAAAATAATCAAATGTATTTAATTTAAACACTAACATACCTTTACATCTTTGCGGGGTTGTAAGCCATAATTATACCGTAATTTCCGCCTTGAAGACACATCATAACACTGAGGCACAAGCACGGTTTTTATATTTTGACTCATATTTATTTTTCGCATCGATTAATATGGATTTTTAATATTCTCAAGTTTTCGAAAAACGCGTGATTCACGTAACCAGAGATAAACATAGATAAAGACAAGCAACAGTTGTCTCCTGCTCCAATGTGAATCATGGAAAAGTGGTGAATTGTCACACCTCAGATATCACATCACTGATAAACCGATATTGACTAAATCTAAATTTTGTCTTGCTTAGAAAGACAGTATTCTAGTAACTAATAAATCTACAATCATATAGGTAATTTAAAAAATTAAAATTTGTGTAATAGCACATAATAATTTGTTTATACCAATAACCAATAAATTATAAGCTTTGCAGCTTTTCAGAAATTCTGTGTAGACACTAAGCCGGTAATTTGAATTTGTTATATGCATTTTAATTGTTTGAATTTCATAGGGTGGGAACTGTTAGCTCCGGATAAATTTATTTTAGTAATATAGAAATTTTATTAATATTGCCCAATAAAATTATAACGTTGACGCATTTAAAAAGAAAAGTTCATATAAGCTCTTGTACTTGTACGTGCCCTTACTTTCCTGCTGCGGGCACGCAAAATTTATTTGCGATAAATTTTGTTAATTTGTTAATCAAAACACCATATTTTCAGTAATTCATAAGGGTCTCAGGTTTTAGTAGTAAGAAGATTTACTTTTACATGCCCTTACTATTCTGCTGCGGGCACGCAAAATTTATATTCATCCAATTTGGAATATACCGTAAATATACATTCATGTATATTACCGGAATATTTGTTTTCAACATACTATGTATATTCACCTGCACATATACACAATATGTACATACCTGGTATGTTCATCTGCACATATACCCAATATGTACATATATGTACATACTTAGGATATACTTTTTATGAACTTTGATGAATATACATGCATGTATATTCCACGAACATTAATGTTAGGAATGTTCACGTATGTATATTCCCAGGATATTCCCGCAATGTTCTGTATATTTTTTGAACATTCTGGGATATTCAAAGAATATGAAATGCTATCTGGGTCGAAGGGTGCATTAGTCAAAAATTTCCGAAAGTCCCATCAAATGCCCGGGAAAATTCAAACTCAATCCCGTCATAGAACCGGCTTTCTTCTAAAAAATCAGTATTTTATCTTCTGCAGTAGTCAACTGGCGAATTTTTGAATCAGAGCCCGCACAGCGTCAAGACAAAGCTCAAAGTGTGAGTTTTTAGACAAACGATCAAAATACCTTCGAGTACTCAGCAAATAGACTCGCCTCAGATTTAGAGCCAACTTCGCTCTATCACTGAAATACACTTCTCAGCTTCAGAAAGCGATATTTTGAAATAGAGCCCACAAAGCATCAACTTAGAGCCTAAAGTGCGCGTTTAAAAAAGTTCAAAATTTCAAATGCAATGTTCAAACTCGTCCCAGATCCAGATCTATCGTTGATCTATATCTAGCAAAAACATACACTCTCTATCTACCGCAGGAGCATTAAATCACTAGAGGTTTTAATGTGAAAAATCTCAAACTCAGTGCAAGATATCGACTCGGAGCAAGTACACGTTTTCTGATTAGGAAAAACACTTCTGGCATTTTATATTGCAGTTAGCTCTCTTCATCTACCAAAAGTTAAGGAACTTTTTTGGCAGTGGCAGAACTGGATAAAACTTATGTAAAAAACAGAAAAAATATTTACACTTTTACACCCTGGAGCTCGGAATCTGCGAACTTTCGCATAAAACGAATTTGCCTTAATCGCAATGTTTTTGCCCTGAACTCAGTGAACTTTGTCCCATGTGCTTCATCTACCCATTTTCACCTACGACTTTTGGTCCGTGATCTGCAGGTTTAATCATCGATGCCTTCGGTGAGCTTCGTGATCAGTTGGAAAAAGTGATCGAAGATATGGATTCAAACTGTTTCATTTGCGGCCTGGACAAAGGCTATCTTGATAAAGTTCCACATGGTTTTGATACCCATGTGCAACAGGAGCACAACCTTGCTAACTACATGTAAATAAACAAGCTTTGTTGTTAACAAAATTTTCATATTTGAATGTTCTGCTTAGGTTCTTCCTTATGCACTTGATCAATAAACCAGACACAGAGTACACAGGCCAGGAAACGTACGTGTGGAACATGTACCAGCAGCGCTGTTGGGACTTCTTTCCTATGGGTGACTGTTTCCGGAAACAGTACGAAGACGAGATTGGAGGAGGAGGTGGCTAGACTCACTTTTCCGGGTTTGTTTCTGATAAGTATGCTCAAAAAACCGTTAGTACGATATGTAAAGCAGCTTTTACAATGTCCACACACAGCAGAATTAGTAAATCGATTTATAATCTACGAGTGTATTGATTGTTACGAGTTTAACACTTTTTGTATATAAGACGCATGAATAGGCAAAAGCGACATAATGCCTATTTTTAGCGCGTTGGCGGCTTTGAGAGTAAATGTTAGTTTGTATGTAAATGAATAATAAACAATAAATAATAATTCTTTAAGGATTGTTTTTGTTATCTGCTCCAGTTATTTCGGGTTTTAAATATTTCCAGATAGGCGAACGTATGCACAAACAAGAGTGAGCTGAAAAACCCTCATTTTTAAAGCGTGCAAATTTGTCCTAAATTTTGAAATTTGCAGCAATGGATTAGTGCAACAAATTGCCACTATTGAAGAACACATAATACAAATATAAAAAGTCTTGCAATCTTTTTACCAATCACTTTTGGTCTACCCGCCCAACTTTTCTGGAATTTTGAAGCCGTTAGAAGTATAAACTCTTAAAAAAAACTTAAAAAAGAAACTTGAACACCCACATTAAAACATCTTTTATATGAATAATACGTAAGTAGTACTTTTAGAAAAGTACAAACAAATTTCCATTGGAAGTTGAAAAAATTACATCTTTAAGTGGTGCTGATGTAGCGTTTAATCTCCATCTCTTTGGCCAATGAGATCCATGTTCTCCTCTGTATTAAAGACAGAAATTTAAGTTTTTAAATTTTTTTAACTCTCTTCCTATTAACTGTCTACTCCATCTGTTCACCCAACCAAGCTCGTATTGGCGATTAATTAAACTTATATGAGTTTGCTAGGAACTTCGCATTTTTCCACGTGAAAGTCCAAGCTCATAATACTGATGAATTAAAAGAAGAAAACGTGCAAGTTAAAAATAAAATTGTATTAAAGATAAAATACAAAATTAAAAAAGAAAAACAAATGTCCAACTACATCTTTATGTGTGTACTCTAACTCGCTCTATCTATAATAAATACAAGTATTGTTGTTATTAAAAGATGTGTATGTTTGCGTTCTAACAAAAAATTGTATTTTTAATACATAAGTACACTAAGTAAGGCATTCTTATAGCAGCAGTTTAAAACGTTTTGACATAACTTAAAATGTACAGAAATCATATGATCCTATGTGACTAGGTTCTAGTCAGTTATTGGTTTGTTATGTACAAGTTAACATTCAGTGTACATATTTGGTAACTTTTCATATACTGAATATTGTATACGAATTAATTATTATAAACTGTAGAGAATATCAGAATTTAGACTGTCCTCAATCACTAACTTACTTAACTTAATAATTAGTCCTAAAGGACGGAACATTGATAAGCAATTTCTGATTTGAAAATTACATTTTAAATACAAAATATATTTATAGTCTTTTTAAGGCATGTTTCTATATGGCAATAACTATAAATTTCTATACTTAGCTGGGTATGAAATGATTATTAACATATTTTTTCGATCAGCCTACAACTCTGTTATTCTTAAAAATCACAAGTTTGGGGTAAATACAAGACAAAAAATGGCATTCTAGAATTAAAATAGAGTAAAATTTACAAGTATGGCGTTCCAGACAATTTGATTTTTTGACTAAAAGATCATTTGTTCTGCATAACAGCAAATATAATTTTGAAACGCTATGTTAATATTAAGCGGTACTTATATGTGCAATTCCTTATGTCTACTGAATAATCTAAAATCTAGTTTTAATATAAATTATATAACAAATATTTCACAACCAAAATTATACTTTTTATAAATAAAGCAACAAATGATGTTTTAAAAAATTTCAAATTGATAACTAAAGCAAAAAATTTGTGGTTTTCTCTGGCTATGGTTGGGCAATAAAGAAAATCATTTACGCAACGTGGAAGTCTTTTCAGACGTAAATCTGTTTTAATATGAAATTTATGCTGAAGTTGGATTTATGTGGTTTCATATGCAAAAAAACTAATTCAGGCAAATAGCGTATCTAAATAGAACATTGGGGCCCAAAAAAATTTAGTGTCTTCCTCTCTGAAAATTTCGCTCGTTAATCTTTGTAAAAAGTCATGCTCAAAATATAGCCAGAGTTCAGTTAAAATTGAGGAAACGTTGGAATGCATATCGAAAAATCACATTACAATACCCAAAATATCAAATACAATACTAAGGAATGATCACTAGTAATTATAATTATTACTCGTTACACAGACGTGTGTTTCATAAATTTGCCAACAAAATATTCCTACAGATACATAAATATAATAATTATAGAGTTGTATAATTCTGTAATCTTTTGCAAGCAATAAATATATAGAAATCCTATTACACTTTGTTATATTTTACATAAGTACACTGAAAAAGGCCTCGTAGTTGAGAGAAGGCAATAAAACGATTGCTCTGGGATATGTTACAATTTTTATCTAAGTTTATGTCACCATTTGAGATCTTTCCGCTATCGGAAAAACTATTATCTGACTAAAGCTTTGAGCAACAGAATGATACTGTTTCATGTATGTATGATATAATACATTCCCTTATTCTCTTGTGATAATTTTCCATTATTGTCTCCAAACTGTTCAAGTTCTAGCAGTTGCTCAAATCTTTATACAGCAGCAGACGAACGTTAAATATGACAACAAATGGACAAATATATTAAATCTTTCGAAAGCTATCTAAAGCTAATAATAAGCGATGGACTTATTTAGCTGTTTTCGGCAAATGGCGTTTCATATGTAGCGCTAAATGGTCCGATCTGGCAAAGGATCGTTCACAAACGCCACATTTGAACGGTTTGGCTCCCGTATGCTTACGATAATGTCGCGTTAACTCGTCCGAACGCGCAAATCTCCACTCGCATTCTGGCCATTGGCACTGATATGGTTTTTCTCCTGCAAAAAAATGAGAAATTATGCCTCCATCTCAACATGTTTACCACAAAACGAAATTTGCTACAAATCGGTTAGAGCAACAGACTATTTCAAAAGAAGTCATTTATTTGCAATGGTGACAGAAAACCGTAGCAATGTTAACAAAATAGTCAAAAAATTCTCACTAAACACTGAGATATTAGCAAAAAATTGAATTCCAATTTTGATAACAATGCACCTAAAGGCGACGCTTTTCTCATTCCAGTTATGTAAATACTTGATGGGTAAAAACCCCCGAACATACAAAACCGGATAATAACGACTCCATATATACTGGTTGACTCAAGATCAGAATCAATCCTCTAAATGGTCTGGATGTATTAAAGGAGTAAAAACATTATATACAAAGTAACACTCACTAAAAACTAAAATACGCCAAAAAAAATCAACTCATAAATTTAGCGGCAAAGTATTTGATTCGCTCGCATTTTTGTAACCTTTTTCTCAATAGCAATACGTAAGAAGAGTGAGAAGACCTGAATCAGCTGGGAATAATTGAAGTACTAAATGTGCCAAAATTTAGTTCTTCAATTGAGTTCCCAAAGAATCTTTCAATACAGGTATAATTCATTATTTGCTTCATTTTTATCAATTGCTCAACTTCACTTCACAACAAGAGTTTTTATTGTTTGAATCACTATGATTAATGTTTGAATCTGCACTTTTCATCTAAAAAAGGGAACGTTTTCTGTTAAGGGCAATATAAAAAATTGCTTGTGTCGACATCTTTGTGTAGAATCTATTCAGGCTGAACTGATCAAATACACAAAGTAGACGCTTGTTACAGTAATTGATTACAGTAGCACTAAATGTTTCAACCAGATAATTCAACAAACAATAAAAAAAACTTATGAGAATTTTCTACTTGAAGAATGTACGATTTTGTACATTTTTTTATCTGAAATGAGGGTGGCACTGATGCATGAGTGTAGAAATATTTTTAACAAACTAAAAACGCACTTCTTTCAGTATACTATCGAGCCAATGTAGACTAGCAAATTTGTATGAAACATACATTAATTCAAAAACTATTAATGTTGAGTTTAATTTAAAACAACTCTGCTTCGGTAAAGAATCAAACAGAGCGAAACGAGCGGTAAAAAGTCTGTTATGGTGCGTACAGACTTCAGGGATCGGCTCGTCAGGTCTGGACGCACCATTAGATTTTATTTTTATATTTTTTGTCTTAATTGAAAAAATGTTGAGTTTAGTAAAGCAATCAGTCAAATAATTACCTGTGTGTATCCTTTGATGTGCTTTGAGGTGTGAGCTTTTTGTATACACCTTTGAACAACCTGAAAATCATACATTATGAGGAAATTATGAATAAATTATATATAATGTTTGTCTAATAAATAATAAATAATTGGAAAAATTTAGGTTTTCTGAGGGTTAATGAAAAAAACACTGAAATCTTTTGCAAAAAATGTTGGCTACACTTACAGCAATATACGTTTTATCAATAATTAATAATAATAATAAATTTATTAGATTCCATACAGCCATACAGAAACATGATACAAATTGACTAAAAAATCTCTGATTAAACACATGGCTGCCTTAAAACAAAGCGGTACATTAATTAGGCACAAGAGAGAAATTAAAGTTTCAGATAACACCGGGTGGCCCAAAAAGTAGTTTTTGTTGAAGTGTTCACAATTTTTTTGCTTTGTAGTTTTTAAGAACAAATCCGTAAACTGTTACTTATTGACTGATTTTAATAAAACGCAACATTTAGACTTTTGCTGGAAATTTTCACTTGCCCACAAAACAGTGTCCTTTAAAAATGTCTGTAATTTTTTGTGAAAAAAATCAAATTTATTACCCTGAAGCAGTTTGTTTACACAATACCTCAAAGTCCATTTAAGTAGCCAAAACAAGAGCAAAATAATCAAAAAATCTGTGCAATACCGTGCATTTCTATTGATATTTAGTACTTGTTTGTTGTTTGCGTAAATTGGTTCTGATGTGGTCTGGTGTAATTTTTTGATATGTATATGTCTTTTTATGAGTATTGAGTACATTAGCCACCTTCTCAGAATAGAGCTGCCGAGTTGGGATTTTTTCGTTACTTAAATGTAGCCTTCAAAATAAATGTTCTTGGGACAAAAAATGTTTTTGTGTCCCTCATAGAAGTACCTCATTTTCATACGACTGAACTGAAATCCCCAGTGGATTTGTGCCAGTTACTCACCTATATAATCACATCGATGTATCCGTCGCTTTTCCAGTTCGGGATTATTCCTTCTATTGTAGGGCTTCATTCCGACGGACAGTCGAGGAACTGTGCTGGCAGGTGGAGGTGGGTGCTGCTGGGGCGGACATCCTGGACCATGATAAGGAGGTGGAGGAGTTCGTCGGGGCAGAGCGCTTCCGGGTGAGCCTGGTTCAGAACTCGGCGGCGTCAATGGAGAAACGTACATTAACCGAGACATTGGGTAGAGAGCGTTACCTGCAATAAAAAGACATTAATAGACAGACGAAGCTAATCATCCATAAATCCCGATTTGTTTGGGAGCAACATCGATCGTCGATTCATGGATGAGATGGAGAAAAGTACTTGGAGATTATGACCGATCGATATATTTACAATCATTAGAACTAGCCATTGAGTGGCCACCGCGAGCGCCCGAGCTAACGCCGCTTGACTTTTTCCTCTGAGGACAACTAGAACCTCCACCTCTGCAAACACAACCTTGTAACTTACCTGGCGCTGGTCCTGGTGCTACAATGTTGTTGTTGTTGTTGTATTTGTACTGGTTATTGTTGTGCTGCACGTGATGCATGGGCGTTTGCGGCTGCGGCTGGTGATAATGAGGTTGATGTCCCTGAGGTCCCTGTGGGCTGTTTGGTTGGTGTTGATTGTAAGGGCTGTTTGGGGTACCCATGAGGTGAAGCGTTGGAGCTGAAGGGGGCTGTAGTACCTAAACCAAGTCAGTCCATCTACACCCATCCGAGTTCCATCGAACAAATTTTACCTTTTCGGTTTTGATTTCCAAAGGCGACAACAGTGGTGAGGGTGTGGGCTGGCAATTCACGGAAAGTTCGTCGACAGTTTCCATTTTGACGTGGCCCGGACCAACCAGCATGTTTGCATTTTCCGGATCGATATTTTGTATGCTACTGGCAATGTCTTCCCATAAAGGCGGCCTGCAATTGCATAAATTGGTTTAAGTTTGCATCAGTTATGGAATCCCGATTAGAGCAAATGCCTCACTAGTAAGTAAATTGTATGAACAAAATATAGAAAGGACCACAAATGTGACGAAGCAGTTACACGTGTAAAAAATGCAGCACCGGGAAAAGGACAAATAAACAGTAACATTTTACTCCTGAAACTAAAATAGGGCAGAAAGATCGATTTATGTTATAAACTGTATATGGGAAAGCTTTCAATTGAGTCCTTACTTTAAATATAGGATCCGTTTTTCATTTTTTTACGACTTTATACGACTCTTTTTGATGCTTCGGTTTATTGAAAACTGTCCTTACAGTACCAGTTCTCTTTATTTATTCATGACCATTTCTCCTCCCTTAGTTTAGTTTTTTAGATTTTTGCCTTCAAATTGCGTGAATTCAATCCAATGTTTGCATGTTTTCGTCTTGTCGATTATATATATTGTCGAAATATATATAATGTTTGTCTAATAAATAATAACTGAAACCTGAAACTAAAATAGGGCAGAAAGACCGGTTTATGTTATAAACTGTATAAGGGAAAGCGTTCAATTGAGTCCTTACTTTAAATAGAAGATCTGTTTTTCATTTTTTTACGACTATACGACACTTTTTGATGCTTCGGTTAATTGAAAACTGTGTCCTTACCGTACCAGTTATCTTTACTTATTCATGACCATTTCTCCTCTTTTAGTTTAGTTTTTTTAGATGTTGCCCTTCAAATTGCGTGAATTCAATCCAATGTTTGCAAGTTTTCGTCTTGTCGATGCACATTCTTGAATGAACTCTGTATCTTTTGTTGTATTTAAACACTACATAAATAATCCAATCAGGGATCGATCTTACTTCGGCTATTTCTTGGTTGAGCTTCCGATTAATGAGAAATTCCTCGCATCTTTGACCAGTGCGTTAGGTAGAATTATTGTGGCTAGTGTGTTTTGTTAGTTTTTAGTGACTACAGGACGGATAGAAGATTTTTTTGGCCAATACCAAAAAAAATAAGCAAGTTTTGCCCCGTCAATGGGACACAATGGGGCAAAATTTACTTTCCCAGTGGCTCAAACTCACACAAAAACACTCAAAGCGAAGAAGGTAATTTTCTGGCTAGAACTAAGCATTTAAAGTTGAGTTGGAAGAAAATGCATTTATTGACTCTACCGGAGGATCTAAAACTGAGTGAGTTTTATGCAAAGGGGATGTGGAAAATTATCAAAAATATATTTGAAGTGGCGCTTTTAATGGCGTGTTTCGGCCCTATTCTGATAGTAAATCTCTCAAAAATCACCTACCAAATAATCAGGCATTGACCAGAACTTAAAGAGCAGAGCAACTCGAAACTGTTTGAAACTGTTGCATAGCATCAAAATAACCGATCTTTTCGCATAATATCCACTTAACATCAATAAATGAATCATCCTAACTATTCTGTAAACAGTCTGGTTGTTATACCTGAGGAAGACATCATCATCTGTGCCAGGCAGTGTTCGCATAGAGACATAACTCATGCTCTGTTGTACACCGCGTTGAGGGCCCACGGGCTCGAAGAAGTCGTCGATCTGCGATGCGGAGTCTCTGCGCGGCTTGTCCAGTTCTTCTTCGAGTCGCCGCTCCCATTCTTGCTTGCAGAAAAAAGTGTCCAGGTCGCTGGTCTGAAACAAAAATTAAGTCACATCAGTTGGGAAAACTTGGAGCAATAAAGGGACTTTGCGATTGTTTTAAACAGACATGCCATAAAAATGCAACCTTTATATAATATTTATAACCATAATTGACAATTTTTTTTTATAAGAAGTCAAAAATTATTTTAAATAGTGGTGTTCTACTTGAAAAAACCTTTATTTTCAGTGCTTCAAATGGCTACCGACAGTGAGGTACTTGAGAATTAACGAGTGGAAAATGGAGGATGGGGCCCCAGCTGGCAGAAAGCTGGTGATATTGTTCTCTAATCTAAATAATGTAAATCTTTTAGCTTGATCTGAGTTTAGTTTTGCGTCAAGCAACTGAAGTTGAAAAAAGCTATTCAAATCCGGTAACCGATCAAGAAAATATTCACAGTCAAAAATTCGGAAACTTTTAAACTATGCGTTAAATTTGCGATGTGAATAAAATATTCCTATACCGATTACTAATGGAATTTTTTTACGGTGCTGTGATAATCAGTTGAATGCATATACAGTCCAGAAAACGGACAACGCCGGCCTTTTATTAAGATGACTCTTTTAAAAGCCATCAGTGTGAATAACCATTTTTTTAGCCCGCACGTTGCCAATGTAAAGAATGTTTACAACGCAGACATAAATGTTGACACCTCTAGAATAAATGGAAAGGCAAGACCAAAAGGCAAATAACAGCTAATAAATTATGACAGAAAAAAGAACAATCAGCACCGTCGGGAAAAAAATGACAGAGCACAAACTGACAACATGACTTGACTCAGCGGGACGCGGCGCTATTTACAACGCCTTTAAAATCACCCCTGCAGTTGCGGATTTGTACATGTTCATGTTCAGATTTTTCTCTCAGGTACATGAATTTTATATTCCGCATTTTGTTCGACTCG